CTTTGGAAGCAGGAGTACCAAGGACCCACAGACTACATTACCATCTTAAAGATTACTTCAGTCAAAATTAGTAAAAAATATGTTTCACTTCTTGTTTCACCAATGGGACTGTTAGGCTTTCCAGAGTGTAACTAAACCAACAGGCTATGAAACAAATACATTTTTTCTTCACAAGATTTTCCTTCAAAAATCCATTTCCAGATTCAGAGGCGGCCTCACCAATGTCTCTTTTCAATGTGAAAACCTGAATATTTAGCAGGTTCATTGCAAGATTAAAAACCTGGATTTCATTCAAGGATTTACCTTCTACCTGTTCAATTTTTATGCACTTTATGCAGGGACATGAACAGTCATTGGAACGGCACTTGAAATTCAAGTGATTCATCTCTTTTCTCTGCCATTTGAAAGGAGGGCTATTTAAGAACCTGCTTTTCAAACTACGAGTGCCAAGCAGAGCACTTCAGACCAAGAGAAGTCAAGGGTTTAAYTCACCTTTTCCAAGTGCCTTGAGCAGGTTCCATATGATGTGACTYCCAGAGACCCTCAGCCACAGCACTGGATGCTGAGGACCCACTGAGGTGGGTTCTTGGTCTGAGGAACATGAGAAATAAATTTAGTTCTTGACACACTGATTTTCTACTCATGCTTAAAAAATTGTTGCTTTCCTTTCTAAAGGAGAAGGAGCTTGAGAGGTACCCCATCCTGAAATCCCCCTATATGGCTTTGTGGGGACAAGTTTTACAAGAAACWTCAGTGGAATGGGGTTCAGTCACACCTGCTGAGGGTCTTGCACACAGATTTTCAGCCAAGTTTCCAGCATCTCACYGACCCTACTCCTCTAAAAGTGAATTTGGTCCAAGTGTGTGTACCAGGACCCTTTTTAACACAGCCTAGTCCCCACAGTAGGAAAAGGCTGTTTATCTTCATCCTCTCTAAAAGTCGGGTGTAAACACAGACTTAAAATGTTTCCTTGTCCAAATGCCACCACTTATCTAACACTCTGTGAGCAGAGAGAAGGAATCTCCTTTCCTTTTTATAGCCAGGGCTTTTTATGTTTTCTGGGAAAAACTTTTGGGAAAGAGCTACTTTTAGTTTCAGTGAAATATCTCTGAGCTTAGGTCAATGTTGGCACTACTAATCATGATGTTGCTACATATTTAAAACAAGGTTAAAGTACAGGAAAATTTCATACTCTTCTTAGAATGGAAGAATATCCTGGATTCCCCTGACTTTAAAAAGCACAAGGAACTTCTGAAGCAGAAATAATAGAAAGCTCTATGTAAGGCTATCCCAGCACTATGAACTGAGCAGATATGGGATTTCAGGGACTTAGGTTCTGACTCAAAATCCTTGCAAAGCTTTTCAGAAAGCAGTTCAGAGCAAAGAGAAGTTATAATACAAAGATGGTAGTTACTCCTAGGGTTATGTRTTCAGGCTAGGTTAAATAGGCACAAAATTTCTGTGGGGAAAAAAAAATGAAGGAGTTGATTCATGGGCAACTTTGCTTATTGMTTACCAAAAGCAATAGTGTCCTGTTTAAAACTGGCAAACTAGAGAGAAAAAATAATCCCATTTTCTTTGTGGGTTTTTGTTTTGTTACTCTTAATTAAGGCATTTATGCAACAGAACATCAAAAATTTCATTTGATGCCTTTGTAAATCATCTGGAGCCAGCATACAAAGCTGATCATTCCATTTCTCAGGGTGCTTTAATCAGGTATAAAACCAGTCTAATTGAAAGGAGAGGAATGMTGAGTTACCATCTGGAGGTAGCTGTGCAAATGACATTCTTACCACCCTTCTTAAGGAAATTATGAGCTTTCAGGGGAGGTTTGTCCCTAAACCCTAAAACCAGAGCATGGCTGGGACACAAGGCCCTTCCAGCCTCTGTGGCCAGGCTTCCATCACAGCAGAGGGAGGGAAATGGAAGCTGTGTCCAGCAGATGAGTTCTGCTGCAGAGCTGGGGCAGCACCAAGGCATGTGCTTGGTCCTGGAAAGACAGAAACACCCCTAAGCAATCTTTTTTTTGGCATAAGTTTTGCATGTCCTCACCATCAAAAATGAAAGCCCRTTTAGAGAACAGAGAGCATTCATTCCTACGAGCATTTTAGAGATCTAGAAATTTCCCAAATTATGGAGCACGTTGTACTAAATGAAAATGTATTGTTACATACTGCATATACAACGAAAGAGCAGCAGTATCAGGCACTGTGGAAATGCAGTTTTCAACTAGATCTGGATCATCACCTGCTTATCTGGTCCCCTCTGAACCAAAAACAATATAATAGATTGAAGAAAACAACATAATGACAACAAGGTATGAAGATAACAGTAGAGATTAAATGGGCCAAGATTCTCAGCTGGAAAAGAGAAACTTATAGAAGTTTCTATAAGTTCTAGAAATAAGTTCATAAAAAATGAATGGAGACCAGTTATTTTTTTTTTTTCTTTAAAGCAGGGGGACTAATTATTTCTTCTCTTTACAACGTAAGGACTACAGGGCATTGAAGAAAACGTACAAGTAGGTGTTTTAAAAGAGAAAAAAAAWCATTTTTCCACTCAACATTTCTAACCTGTGAAAGATGTTACAGATTAAAATGAAGAGATCTGAAAGTGATCAGATAAATCCATGTAAGAGACATTCATTGAGAGCTATCAGTCACAAATCTGTGAATATAACCTCCTGCTCAAGATATCCCCAGGCCATASCTTGCTGGAAGCTCTGCTGGTATTCAGGGGATTGCTAGACACAATCCCAGACTTTACATAAAGTCCCTAAAGAGCAGCCCTTTGTTTTTATGAAGACCCTTCATTCTCAGTTCTCAGCACAGCCAGTCATGCATTCTTAGGGCTTTTTAGGCAAGCCGCTCAAGAGAAACTGTTGTGGGAATAATGCTTAGGGACCATAAGAATTTAACTAATTTACTAGGTCTTTGGTTTAACAGGTGCTAGGGAAACTCTTTCTTCTGTCACTCTGGTCTGCTATAATTTCAAAACCTCAAGATGCAAAAAGTACTTGAGGTGTTTTCCTTCTGCTTCAGATKTTGACTGCTGCTACTTTGTTCCCTGGTAGAGGAAATACATGAGAAACACACTGCAGACTGGAAAGTGGGTGCAACAAATACCTGAATCACAAAGAGCAGAAAGGTCAGAAAAAGGAACTGCATCTTCTCACATATATTTCATATGTTTTGCCTGTGATTGCCCTTTATATTTGGGAGTAAGAACTCATGTATGTAGGTACAGATACACACACGTACACGTCAGACTCTCCTGTGTGAAGAACTGGTGGATCCAAGACATTCACAGYTCAGACTGTAACATGGATGAGATGAGAAAAGGAGGGACAGCATCTCAGCTGGAGATAAACTAGTAGAGTCTTTTGCAGGCAGCTCCACCACAGCCTGCATGACTTTCTGTCCCTCACGTGAGGATCTCCATTTCCACCTCCATGTTCCTGAATCTTCCTCACTCACCCTGCCTAACAGGAAGGGCACCAAAGTGCATGAAAACCAACACAGYTGAGGACTGGGACCGTCCTCTGCAATTCCTGAACACAGCAGTGGTCACCGTGAGTTGGTCTTTTGTGCAAGAAGCTGATGAGCAACAGAAGAAGAATTTACTGCAAGACAGGCAGAATCCTCGACAAGAGTGGATTMAAACCGAGTCCTTGGAGATTTCAGAGAGCAGACTGTGGAAGGGAGTTGTTTTCCCAAAGATTTTAAACTTTTTCTGCTTAGTTAAAGTTTGTGTTCGCAGAAAATTCTTGTGGTTTCTGCACTTCTTTGAGCAGGAGTCACAAAAAATGCAGCTCAAGTCTCCAGAGAGACATTCAGAGAAGGTTTTCCAAGACAAAAATCTTGAGCAGTGGGAATGAGTGTGCATTCCAGTCTCAAAAGAATTCCTCACTGCCTTTAGCTGGACATTGCTTGCATAAAGGGTGCAACCTGTAGCTTGATCTGAAAGCAATCACCCCTCCCAACCCATACTCAGTGGCACTGGTACTCAGTAATTAGAGCTTTTTGTGACAGATTTATTCCCATTTGGGAAGTAGGATCATAAAGCTTTACCCAGTTATAGTGGTTTGGGTTTAGAAGAGATGCTAAGGCTCTTAGAAAACTAGTATTTCCTAGTACTTGTYGGGGCCTTGACCTAAAGAAAAGAATCAAATTTTTTTCTTCTGCTATTCCCCCTAACGCTAATCTGCTTAAATTGAAGATGACTTTATAGAAGTTGATTCCACCTGCAATAGGAGTGAGATCAGAATAATTGCTTATTAAGAATGTTCAACTTGTGACATACAGGTTAGAAGCAGTGAAGTGTTCTCCATCAAAGCAACAGTGGGCAATAGAAATCAGTTTTAGAGCTCTGGAACAGAAATAGTGTGATTTGAGCTTTTTTTCCAGTGACTAAAGCTAAACTGCAAATGACTGGCTGTATGAGTATTGTCATTAACTGCAGGGACATGATGCAACAAGAGTCTAGCAACTCATTTTTTCATGACTGTCCTCTGACAGCAGATTTCCTGCTTACACAATGCTGACTTGTCCCAGTCTATCACAACACTTAGTRTTTTCCAGGCTCTGGCAGAAGTGACAGTATGCTAAACGTTCCTTTTATTTTGCMGCTAAACAGGAGAAAGATCTGTATTCAAGCTTGTCATGTTCTCCCAGAGATATGTATTTTATATTCATTCCTCGAGTGTAAACAGCTTGTTTTGCAGGAAATGTTCTAGCCTGTTCTTGAAAATATTTCCATTTCACTCTTAAGTTGTTTCAGCTCCCCACCTGTAAAGCTTATAATGAAGATGTGATGCTGACACCCAGGGGAAGATAGGTATGAATGTAAATTCACTGTGCGAGTCTGTAACTCTYACTCAGAATGTTTCTTAAGAAGGTATTTGTTTAAATGAGATGTGGAATTCTGTAATGCAACATTCCCTCTGTGAATAATCTATAAAGTAGCAGAAACATTGCAATGAATAACCAGAAATGTGGGGGTTCCAGCGATCCAGTTTAATAGTTTCTTCATATGTCTGTGTTTATACATCAAACTTCAAACAAAAAGAGTAATATACAATTCAAGAAAATACCTAAAGCTGTTACAGTTTTGGCTTCCCCTTTGTTGATTTACAGTTACATACAAAACTGTCTTATTTGCAACACCCAGTGAAGATTTAATGAATTATTTACATCAGCTGGTGCCTTTCACTCTGCAGTGTAACTATCTCCTTTTGTCTTTTACATTCATAGTTGCAAGAGCCAACATTTATGGATAGGATTCAGAGATGGACTGAAACAAGGCAAGATTCTCACTACTGGCCACAAACATTCTCTGAAATSCCATTTTCCCATRGCTGAAGGAACACTCCAGCCCCTAGTGCACTGATATAACCATTATATCAGTCAGCATAATAAGCTATCTCCACTGAGAATAACTCTCCCACTCATATCAGAGGGAGCTATGTGTGAGCTGGAGGAATAAGAAATTTTAGAGCAGACAAAATGTGTAACTCTGGTGCTAAAGGTGCAAMTTACTTCTGTGAGAAAACTCCTAAGCAAATGAAGACATAAAGTGTGTTCTAAGTGTGTGGAGAATAATACTTTGCAACTTTTTGTACACGAGAGATAAAATTAGGAGGGAAAAAAATATAATTTTATCATAATATGCAAACTTTGTCATAGAATCACAGAATAATTCGGGTTGGAAGGGACCTGTGGAGATAATCTACTCCTAATGGTTCAAAGCAGGGTCAACTTTGAAKTTAGGGTCAGCTTTCAATTTAGTGCAGATTTTTCAGGGCCGTGTCCAGTCAGGTTCTAAATATCTCTAGGATGGAGTTTGCGCAACCACTGGGCATCTGTTCCCATGTTTGACCACCCTTATGACAAAAAAATTTYCTAAAACCCAATCAGGACTTCTACCTTGAAAGTATAACCTAAGGCTCATGGAATAAACCATAAATCTTCTATTGATAAATAAGAGTTTTACAGCATGTATGAACCAAGTATAACAAGCATTAGTCTTTCAGATTTCAGAAGGAATAGTTCATYTTTTCAGTATGTTCTCTGATATCTAGTCAGTAGTTTACCACCACTTGGAATCTTTTCATGCCTTAAATTACAATGCAAGATATGCATCATCCATGGCCATCAAGAAATGCCACAGTTGCGCTTCCTCCCTCTTTTGTAAGCCCAGAATTTTGTACATCACACAGCTGTTCCAGAGCAGCAGCTTTATGAAAGCACAACTAGATGCAAATTACTTGCACAACAGGCATGAGGGTTTCATCTTAGAACCCTCTCAACAAAGAGAAAAACTTTGTTGGGGGGCAAAAGTCAGGGCTTTGTTACAGCTACATGTGCCTGATGTTTTGAAATCCTTCTTTTGCCATGGCCTGCTGTGCCTTTTGATTATTAAASATGTTTTGTCTCTCCCAGCTTGAAAGATGCAATCTACAATAGAGCTTTCCCTCACTTACAAAAGCTCTTTTGACTGAAAARGCTTCTCTAATATCTGTACAAAGGCAGCCACTCATTCAGTCTTTCCATCTCCACAAAAAGTTACATGAATATCTAGAGGCTGAGTACCCTTTTCTCCCCTAGCCCTGACAAATAAAGAAAACAGACAAACTAGAATCAGCTCAATCTTCATATTCAGCCTCAAAATTCACATGTAGAACATCTTGCTTCACAATGATTTGAACACATGTAGGTGTATATGACAAAGTGCTGTATCCACCCTGGAAAATCTCWTGCTAACATTGGYCTCTTAAATATTTTATGGCAGTAAYAGTCATGACTGGARTACAACACTGCTGATTTGTGCATGTACCATAATCATAACTGCTGACCAAGGTACGTGAAGCTGAAAAATTGAAACTATTCTATGATTGTTTTGTCTTCATAAAGAAATTTAAAAAAAAAAAAAACCCTTGTAAATTCTGGGCATCAAAATAAGCCATGCTTGTTTTTATCTAGAGAAWTTTTTCTTTTTTGAAATCTAGAGAAACAAATAACATCAAAAGAAATACATATTGAGAGGCCGATGGGTTCATTCACATGTTAGGTCTCATTCATTGCATTTAACAGAAAGAAATATAAGGTTTTCCCTGTGTAATCCTCTTACAAAATTCAATCCTCAATTGGGTAAATTAAATTCAARATACACTGAGTAGCTCCTACGACCAGCACAAGAGAGGTGTTGGAGGGAAAGAAATGTAAAATCACATGTTAAAAAATGGTTTCTGATTGCTGCAGGAATCAKGACAGCTGAATGGAGAAAATGTTCCATGGGCATTTCACCAGAATTACAGGATGCAGGAAGATGTTGCCTTTCGATTATCTCCCTTGGTTTGGTTTTGTTAATATTTGTTTGACAACCCACAGAGCATTCTCAGGCTGTAACAACAAATTATCTCTTTGAAGGTCTTCCTCATTTCCTGGCTACGAAAGGCGTAGATCAGGGGATCGATCACCGAGTTACACATAATGAGAATGAGGTACATGTTGAAGTGGGACATGAAGCAAACACAGTAGAGGTTYTGAGGGCAGGAGATCATCAGGATGAGGTGAAGGAAGAATGGAGCCCAGCAAACAATGAAGATGCCAAGAAGCATGGTCAGAGTGATGGCTCCTTTCATGCTGGTTCTTTGGCGGACAGAGTTGTACCCAGGCAAAGCAGCGATTTTCTTCACGTGGGTGCGAGCCAGGAGGAACATGTGGATGTAGAGCGAGACCATGAGGAACAACATGGTAAAAAACATGGTGATGAGACAAATGACCACGTAAGTTGACTCATAATAAAGAATGAAGATAATGCCACAGCCYGTGCAAAAGGTCCAGATGCATGCAATGATCAGCCCTGATCTTTTCACTGTCATGATGTTGTGATAACGCAGGGCGTAGAAGATAGTGATATATCTGTCTACTGCTATAGCCAGCAAACTGCACATGGAAGCCACCACAGATATGCAGATCATGGAATCAAAGACATTGTCTATGTGACGGACAAAGGCATCTTCCATGACGATGTGTTTATTGTTTATTAARTATATGGTTATGGTCTCCCAAGCATTGGACACGCTAACCAGCATGTCAGCCACTGCTAAACTGCAAACGAAAAAATACATGGGTGAGTGCAAGTTCTTGTTCTTAACTATTGCACAGATCACTAAGATGTTTTCGAGGAGGCTTACAATGCCCAGAGTTAGGAACACCTCAGCTGCGATGACCACTTGCTCACATGGCGATGATTTGCTCTTTGCAGTAGGCACAGTAAAGTTGCCACCAAAGGCACTCAGGTTTAGTTCAGAAACATAGAATTCAGAGGACACGTTCATCTTTGGGAGCTAACACGTTCTGCTCCCTCTGAAGGGCTTGCCGAGGAGTGTGGCAAATGCATTTTCCAAAAGGCAGAAGATCCTGACAAAATAAACAAATACAACATTTTTACCAGATTACAGGCAGAAGTTGACAATATAAATACCACCCATTTCTATTTAATTTGGCTCATACATGTCTTGCCTCTTCCACACCACATTCCTGTACTGATTYTAAATTAAACTTTGGTTGGCTCAGAGATTTTCTACCCATCCTTAATGGGAAACTRAAATCACAAACTAATGAAAAGATTCATACACTCTTCATTGATAGTTCTATTTATCCTATTTGGTGCCCTGGAATACTTCCCCAGAATGTCCTGGAAATTCTGCTGAAAAACAAACAATAAACAGTTTCCCCAGTYCCAGCTCTCAGACCCCAGAAGTGCAGGAGGATGTAGTATTAGGTCCTGCAAAAGCTGCTCACTTGAATGAAATATAAAGAAGTTTCTGTTATTGACACAATAAAGAATTGAACATTTTCAGCAAAAGATTTAAATGCTTTCCTGACCTTTGTACATTTAAGTTGGCATSAACTGTATTATAAGCAGCTTATCTGTGCAATACGAACATGCTCATTTAAAAGCATGGTATTAAACACTTAACCAAGGCAAATCCATATATTAAAGTTACAGAATTGGTCTAGGTAGAATTCTATTATAAAATAAGTTTTCCAGATCAAGAATATTTTATTCAGTGGCTTTCTGGTAGTAGCAATATTGAGGGAAAGTTGTAAGCCATTGGGTTTTTAACAAAGGGAACACTTAGAGCTGATTGTCAGTGACTTGTTGCAAATAAAATCCAAAGCACATCATGCTAAACAATTTCCAGTTCTAAAAAGTGGCTTTTTATTTGCAAACAAGAATAACTGTACCTATTTACCAGAGCTGCTCCTTCAGCTGTTCTTCCTCTTCATCGTCTGCAACCTCTCCTCCAGAGCGCTGAAGTTTCAGCCCCCCTGACGTCTGGGGCTGGGGACTCCTTGGTGGGCAAAGATGATAAAAAATAGAGGGAAAGGAATTAGCAAATCCATGGAGCCAAAGCTGACCACGTATAAATTACTTACTGTGCAACTGCCTTTTTATAGACTCCAAGCAATAATGACTTCAGTACTCAAACTGTGGCTCCTCCTCCCCTTCTTTGCCCCTCTGGACTTGTCTTTCCACAGATCTCGTAGCTAAAGGCTTGGGTTTTTACCACCATCTAGTGGCCTTCCCCTGTCTTTCTAACTGAACAGCGATTCTCATCTGAAATTTATTAGGAGCTTTCCATAATATTAACGGGGGAAAGGTACGAAACATACTCCTTTCCTTTTTTTTTGTTTGTTTTCTTTGCTGCTTCTAGTACACTTACAATAAGTTCATGCTGCAACAGTACTCCAAAAGAGGAGAGAAAACTGTTATTGAAATGAGTGGCTTATTACTGTTATAAACATTTTTCTTATACTCAGCTTTGTTGGGTTTTTTTTAAGAAATAAGAACCCCACTGTTACAAAACTCAGAGAACATACAGCCGAAACCACCACTCCACTAAGAAAAGATATATTGAAATATTTTGTATTTAAAAGATGGAACAAATAAACAGGTGTGTTCTGTCCCCCTTGGTAAAGTAGAGATTTCAGTGTAGAAATGGAAGCAGCAGATTTTACCATCCCAGGAGCCCGGGCTCCCCAAGATGGATGTGAATTCCCCCAGGGGCCTAGGAGCTGTTTAARTCAGTGCTCACTATTCCAGTGGCTGAACTTACTCTGTGTGTAGTTGATGTTCCTTCTGGGCCTTACCCAAACGGTGACAAAATCAGTCCAAGTCTTTAACAAATGGTCTCTGCTTGCAGGTGCAGACTGGGGAATGCAAAGCACACACCCTCCTTACTGACTGCCTTTATCAGCTGCTAACCAGACACTCAAATACCATGCAGGATTTGAAGTTAACTTGGTGCAGGAAGTCCCGGCTTCTCCAAATCACCACTTTTCCAATAATTGGTGGGTTGAAGTTTTTTTTGCAGTATATAACAGTTTCAAATGCTTATTTTTTACCTACAGCAGTTTTCTTAAGAATCACCACCAACAAACACTTTATTGTTATATCCTGTGCCACTTTTGTGTTTTCAGTGTTCAGCTAAGGTTTATCATTGAAAAGCAGATAAATCCCWATTTGTAATTACTGTATTCCACAGGAGGTTTCTCTATTGTTACCACTGGCCTCACTCTAATCCTTCACTCCAGGGATGCAGAAACAYCTGGGCCATTGTGTGAAATATTTTTATATACAGTCTCTGTACCAAGGGTGACAGGGRAAAACATTTTTTATTATTTTGAGTAAAATGGCTCTTTTAGCATTACACAGTTGTTTCCAGGAGATGAACTTTGCCTATYCCTTCTCCCCCACACTGGAAAGAGAATTTAGATTATCACAAACCAGAGATCACAAACTATGCGCAAGTGCAGCTGTTAACTCTGAGTATATAATGCCAGCTAGTGACCACACACATATTCCCTGCTGAATCTCACCTGTCTCTGTGCCAATTCTGCGTTCATAGGTTTTTGCTGTGCACTAAAGAAAAGACTTGAGAAAGATCATCTTCAGTTCTCTTTCTGTTCTTTAAAGCATGTGTTTAGTTTACTTACCTTAGTTATCTTTGGTTATCTTTTGCACAGCTTTTAATTTTTCTTTTGCAGATCCTGGAAATCAGATACCTAAGAGTAAAACTGTTGTACATGTTTCAGTGTTGTTATATCTAGCAAGAACTGTGCAGACRTGGTGCCTTTCTACTTCCAATTTCTTCTCTTGCAGTATCCCACTTGCTTTTTGTTGCTTATCACATTCTCTTGTAAAATTCTSTTCTTTCAATTTACAGATTCCTCTGTAGGTTCAGTTTAACAAAGATTTTCGCAGATCATCTTAGCAACAAAAGTTTTCACTGTACCTGGTAGGGCTCAGTAAACCAGCCAATTACAAGAAATAAATCACACATCAGACTGGATGGTTTGGCTGTTATTCCTTAGAGCAATGCCAAGTTTTTTATATATAAATTATGAACCAGCATTTGTATTCTTGTTCCACAAGCCAGACACTTCTGGTGTACAGCTTGGTGCAAGTGCCTATGCTTCACAAAAAAAAAAAAAAAAAACCCTCCCTTATTTACAAAGCTTGCGGAAAAATTGCCTGCCTGGAAACCAGGTAGAGGTATAGAGGTATAGATGTATTTTTTTAATGTTAGAAGATTACATGGAAAAATGCTTCCCTCGCTGCTCCTTACCCCCCAAAAAAGAGAGTTTTATAATTATATTGCTGCAGTAAGCAGGTCTTTAGTGTTACAGCTTGACAAGCAAGTCACTGAAGGGGCACCCAAACAGCAGTGAGAGGAGGCAGGCAAGTGAGTTACAAAGGTTTGAAGTAAAGGGGTATGGGAGCAGACCTTTGGATTTTCTTGGGAAGAATCCAAGAACAGCTTCCCAGCTGGAGGATTCCTGAATAAATAGTCTTGCCTTTCAGGTGTTCATGATCTCAATGTTCAGAGAATTTCTTTGGATTCCAGGAAAAGAGATTGAAAATGCTACAGAAAGATATCAGTGAATAGAAGAAAGAAGCAAAATAGGATTCCAGCAGAAAAAGAAGCGTCAGGGCCAATCTCTGTCCCATGCCATTCTTTTCAATTGTGAAGYGGTGAGAGGGAGCAGAAGCCACTCCAGACATGTGTCTGCCTCTCAGGCTTCATCAGTGACCAGACTGGGAGCTGTGACAATGTCACTGGCAGGAACAGCCGGGCTCTGCCTGCCATCAGCACCACCAGCAATCCCTGCCAGAGCTCCCCTTCACCCTGCACATCCACTGGAACTACASTGACACAAGTTAAATCATGTTAAAACAAGCAAGGAATTGCATGCCACGTTCATGACAGCAAGATACTGAGTTTATCAGTAAATGGAGAAATTAAGCCAATGGAAGAGTGTGCCCACAATGTTTCTGTAGAAGAGCCAGTTACACTCAGATGCATTCTGATATTAATCTGTGCTAATCTTAACAGGTYCAGAGAAAAGTGTTGGTGGTGTTAATAAAAATCTACCAATCTTGTCTAGTGTTAGGACATTTAAGCAATTCAATTCCAATGTCCTTCTGTAGCTCTTTTTATGTGTTTGATGAAAATATGTTTGTTCTTTATAAGGTAGCTTAGACTGGTGATCTTGGCCTATTTACAAAATCCCTCTTCTGTCTAATTCTTGCCTCTGCTGTTATTAGCATAATATTTCAAAGCCACAGAGGATCCTTCCAGACTGCTCTAAAAGATAACCTGTGGATGAACCAAAAGGGAAGATCATGGCCTTCTCTGCATTCAAAATCACRTAACAAATGTGTCTCAGACTGAGAAAACTATTTGTCTTGGCTCCTGTGCTGAGTAGCCTTGTGGGAGCCCCATCAAGGTCCTCAGCATTACAGCCAGTTAGCCTTTAGTAAAGACAGTCAATTAATAGAGATTTTTTCTTAAATGGCATCATTACTTCTTGTCCTTAAAAAACAGTTGGATGAAGTGATGATTGAGTGTTGGTTTTTCAATCCCTTGGCCTGTGCAGAGGATGTCTGAAAGCTTTAAAGTCAGGCTTTGCAGTAAGCAGAGGCATAATGAATACATCATGGCCCTAATCCTCAAATTAACATCTGATTATTTTTTTTTTCAGAAAGAAAAGGARGACTGAAAAAAGGGCATCAAAATATCAAGCAATATGTGCGCTGTTAAAGGGTAGAATCAGCCATATTTATTCTGAATGCACTAGCACTTTTGACCATCAGCTCTTCCATCTGAGTCCTTCAAAATGGTTTGAGATAGTCTCTGGCCACTCCCAGTACCTGTAAGTGGTGCTTCTTGCATCAGAGTAGAAAGCTGAGAAAGAAGCAGTACAGTGCAAAAGGTGTTTAAGAAAGGTATATCCTAATAAACWATAAAGGATGATGTGGTAACCAGCCTCTTAAACTGTAAAAGAGTAGTAAGTGGTGTAGTARCCCTCATTTTTATGTGCCCCTAACTGGAGCCAATTCCAGTAATGAATCAACCCCTGGCAGTTTGTCAGAGGATGGGTCAGCAGGGCAGACCTGGTCAATCACACAGAAGTGTCAGCTGCAGTCTCCACAAGGCAGGAGACTAGGAACTTTCTGACAGAAAAGAGGAAATTCAATAATCTTCAAACAGACTGGGATAAAAAAAAATAAATAAATAAAATTAAAAAAAACCAAACAAACCACTTGGCAGCTGCTGAATTGATAATTCTTTCTGGGAGGACTGGTTGATACCCCAGAGTAATGTGAAAATCTTTAAAGGACCTCAATAGGCTGGAGAGATGAGCAGAGAAGAACAGCCTGAAATACAACTCAGGCAAACACAGGCTCCTGCTAGCAAAGAGCAAACCTTCCAAGTACAGTGTGCTGTGCTTAGATCATCCTTCACACTTTGTTTAGTGCCAAGTATAAGCTCAAATCTACTTTATTTGAGTATAAAGACGCATGCATTCCTCAGAATGAGTGACAAAATTCTAATTTTTTGTAAACTACTGGTCTAAAGAGATCCCTTGAAGAGCTGCTCATTTGCATCTTCCTTCCTGCCAGATAAGCACAGCAGCACAGCATGAACCCTCCCCTGGGAGCACTGCGCTCTCCATCCTGGCCTGGCTGCCTGGTTTGAGCAGAGAGCCTTGACAACTCAGTGTCWCTTTGTCCTGTGCTGTCTCTCTAGTCAGGTTTTGGCATTTTGGCACAGCATGAATGTGAAAAGGTAGCAAACAAGCTGAAGGAAAATCTCAAGGAGATGCAAGAGTTTAATCATCATTAATTCTCTATCGCACAAAGAGCCATTGCTTCACACAGAAAACTGCAGAGGCAGTAATGTGTGCAGTAATGTGTGCTCCTACCAAAGCAGTGCAAATATCTCTGATTCCATGCACATCATAACTAAGCATGGATACACATGCTACACAGGCAATTTTCAAGAACAAGTCTGCTGACTTTTCTCCAGAGAAYAGATTTTCAGGAAGAGCAAGTTCACAAGCTCTTCTTCAAACAACAGAACAAAGGGAGCCTCATTTCCAGCAATGAGACAGCGACTTGGTCAGTATACATCTCAATTTTATGAACAGAATTAAT